GGTTTGCAGATTTTTTCAGCCTGAACATTCTAGAACATCGGGACGTTTGCAGTTTTTGACCGAAACATCACAGAAAGACGCCTTGCAAGAAAATGAGGAGGAGTTTGCAGGATACAAAAACTCGTAAAGCTTTGTTCGAAAAGAAAAGTGTGAGCTTGTCGCTAAGAGAGGCATTGCAGATTTTGTGTAAGACCGCTAATCTTATACTGAAACCAGCCTTTGTTTCATTGTCCATGCGAAGTAGGCAGTACAAAATCTTTGCCAAAGAGAAGATTTGTTAAAAAAATCAAAGAATAGGAAAAGCACAACAAGAACGTTGGCACTATATTACCAAACATTTTATGTTTTTCGTTATAGCATCACTTTCCAGCTATCAACGCAAAATTATAGATTGGATTTTATAGACATGGCTATACAAACAATATTTTGCCATATGCGTTTGAGCCCTCAAAAATAAATGAAGCTGTCCATGGTCAGCAGAGACATTTAGGGTACGAACATGTCCAATTGTTCGGTCCATTCTATAAACTACAGTGCTGGACATAATTATAAAGATACTCTAGAAACTGTTATAATTTGCATTCTTGTTGATGAAAGCCCGAAAATTTGCTGTGTAATGTGCATGTTAGCCTGCCATGACTTCTCGAAATGGCTTCCAATTTTGTTGTGTTCGAACGGAGAAAATAGAAAAAATCGAAAAATCCCTACCGGCTGGACAAAATCATGCAGACACCTGGGTTTTTTGAACACTATCGCATACTCTGACTTTAATTTTTTTTGTACAGTTAATTTTTTCTTCTTTTTTTCTTTTTTTTGTTTTCATTTTTTTCATCAACAAGAACGCAAATTGCGACAATTTCTAGAGTGTCTTTATAATTATGTCCAGCACTGTGAAAAACTTGAAAGCAACTCTTTGTGTTTGTGCATTGTAAGTCCAAAGCTGTTAGTAGATTTGACTCCCCATTTGCATTTGTGTATAACTGGAGATTAACATCTTTGAAGGTCACGGCCCTTCGAGAAAAGGTCCGAAAAGTGGACATTCTGATGCCGCAATTTTTTTTGTTTCAAAATAAAAATTTCCTAAAAAATCTCCGCGTAGCTGCTCGTGTAGTGCTCTGGCTACAGGGCTAGGAATTTTCTGCTGGACGCTCATTTCTAGAAAGGAGTTACAATCTGCCAATGTGGAGTTGCTGGCTAAATTTTACTTGTTATTCAGTTCCTCAACGGTCTGTACTCAGGAGAGGGCAATCTCCCGGAATGTTTCAGGAAAGGAGAAGCCAGAAAATTTCTGGAATGATCGGGCGTGGTCTTTGGCACCGTTCCAGAAAACTTCTAAATATTGTTCCCAAACTTCCAAAAAGCTTTCTAGAATACTCTAGAATTCAAATAAAACACCTTGGAAGAGGCTATGCCTCCAAACCCTCCTCTTGCCCCTAAACTTGTTTACAACGCATTTCATAAATATGAAACTATTTCAGTCATTTACAGAAACATATCACTACATATAGTTTATGTAAACTATTATAGTTTTACACAGGTCGCTCTCCATTCCGGCTTCACACCCAACATTTTCTGACCAGAAATTTCTTCACAAGCAAGCTAAACAGTGTTTTGAAGAACAAAGTGCAGATTTTGCAATCTCTTCCCACAGTTCTTTTGTTAGATGTGTCTGGCAGTTAACAATCGCTTTGTAAGCAAGAAAGAAGCTCAGATTACTTTCTGCTTTTTTCTAGCCCCTAGTGAACTGCGTTCTGCCGACTGCCGCCTAAATCTTGAAACGAAAATGTGCTGGGGATCAGCGGTTTTGTATTTTTTTACCGTGCTTCTGTTAAACACGATTGGATTAATTGCTTTGTTCTCAAGCAAGACCTTGGCAAAACTTCAACAGACACTACGAAAATTGCCAGGTTCTCCCAATCTTGTCATTTCCAACAATGTTAACAGTAGATTTAGTAATAGAACATTGGTAACAAAAATAATTGATTTTGTTGTTAGAACTTGAAGAATTCTGACCGCTATAAATCGCTCAACCCAATGTATTCCGCGGAGAGTAACAGGCTGCTGAAGTTCTGTCCGATTTGAATTTTTAAGTTCGAAACATCATATCTTCTTTCAAAATCAACCTTTTTCGGTAACCTTAGTTTTTACAAGGCTAAATAATTTCTTGGCTATCCGAGGAATACTAAGCCTTGCGATAAAACTCGTTAAATGAAAAGCAAGAACTCAGAATTTGACAGCGTTTCATTTTCAAGCTAGTGTTTGCTCCCAAAAAATTGACATGCATATTAGGTAGTTATTAGTAGAAGAGAACATTTCGAAAATGTTTATGCAACCAAAAGGAATCTATAAAGCACATGATGCCTGAACAATTTTTTGACCAAGTCTTTGAAACCGCTTTTTCACATCGCTTTTTGCACGTGCACATATGCCTAGTTTCAAACTATGCAATGTTTGCACTCTTCGCGAGCGGTGAAAAGTGAATGGCAAACGGATTCAGCGCTCTTGTTTTATCTAGGCATCTCCATTTTTAGACTCTTCGATTGTCTCTATTTACAAGCAAGATGATTTTCACATAAAAGTGAGTTTGTGCATATACTAGCGTGTTGAATCCTTATTACATTACCAATACAAGGACTTGGAAGTGCAGTGTGGAGATTTTCTTGCAAGAAGAACATACTTCTTAGGCGGGGACGTATCTCGCCCGCCGAAGATCTTAGGCTTGTAAATTCGAACAGACTAAGGATTCTATCAAAATTCGTTATACGTTAAAAGAAGCATGAAAAACGCTTTTTAACACGTTTCGGACCGCGAAATCGCGCGCGGCGAAAAAGAGGGTACTTTCAGCCGTTAGCCATCAAAGGAACCTTAATTCGTATACTTTGTGCTACATTTGTAATCAGCTTGTCAGATAAGAATCATACCCAAAGTTCTGAGCGAATTCGAAGTGTTTGAATTTTGTCGCCTGAGAAGGACTTTTGTGCTTTCCTGAAAGATAGGAACAAGAACTCAGTTTCTAATAGTATCCAAAAGTATCTATGTTCTACACGATACACATCATTATTGAAACTACGGTTTTTCTCTTTGAATTCGAAGGAAAGGAAAGTTGCGACGTCGCACGCGTCGATCGCGTTGCCACACTTCGTTGCAACTGATGTTCGATTTGTGCTCATATCTCCTAAGCGAATATTGACAGCACGACTCTACACAGACACTTGAAATGTAGAAGCTTAGGCCTTTGACTTGATAACATTGGACTGAAAGAAAACTTCCTGTAAACGTTGAAAAGATCCTTCAAAAGCGCGTGCTGCACCATGTGCAGCACCGGTCCGAAACGTGTTAATGATGCGAATAATACCGCGCTAAGGATAAAAATCTTCTAAGTAGCTGCTTCAAGCACAAGTCAACAAAAATCGGACAGAACTTATGCAGCAGTAGTACAATATTGTAGAGCTGCCTAATATAAAGAAGGGATACCAACACCTCTTTGTTAACATGTGAATACGGTGGTAGCTTAAAAGACCTCAAAGGCAGCGTCCGGGCAAAATTTCAAATGGAATTTTTTTCGCTTACCTGGGCTTATTCCCCCGTTGATTCCGAAAATGCAGCTTGGAGAGCACAAAGCATCGAAAACGGGCTCTTCCAGGAGCTCTTAATTTGAATTTTGCCGCCTGCCGCCAAGGTTAAGACGCAGAGTCTTTGTGGGACCCTCCGTTTTGACTGTGTGAGGTATGCGCACTCAGGCTTATCTAACTAACTCGTCTCGGTCGCCAGGGCGTTCCAGTCGCCATTTCTGAAGAGGTTTTCTCGCTTCAGAAGCAATTTGGTGCATTGCCAGTTGGGCAAGAGCCTTACCAGGACGAGCGCCCCTTTATTCTACATTTTCGTATCTGCCCGGACGCTGCCTTCAACGGCAGAGTTCGACCTTAGGAAAAGACCGCGTAGAATCTGGTAAATCTCACAAAATAATCTAACAATCTAAATATCTAAAATAATCTAATAATTTAATAAAATCTAATACTATTCAGTGAACCAGGGCAGCCCATTTTGAATATGAATTGGCTAGTGATTCACAGCGATTACTCTGCAAAAGTTAAGTGTTTTGCTTGCTTTCTCTGTTTTTTACAAATGCGATCACAAACATTACGACAAAAAGTTTGTTATTGAAGACTGATGTGCGGCACTACGAAGTCTTCAAACGCATAAGTTCGGAGCACTTTGGCGGTGAGGCGAAGGCTCATACACTAATTCTGCAGCGACGGATGAGGGGTTAATGAAGCCATATTTACGAAATAAATAGAAGTTGGCTAGGTTGATGTGAGAGAGAGAGTTATTGACAGCGCAGGAATTACATGCTTGGCATCAAGTATATAAAATGAACAGACTGATTCCTTACGAAAACGACTAGATTGATTAGAGGAACCGTTCTTCCAAGCTCAATAGAAATTAAATAGGTCTGGATTGAAATAGTAAAAGATGTTAAAAGGCCGATTCGTCGCCTTCAAACTTCAAAATGATTTCGCTCAACTAAATTATGGATTGTTGTCTTACTGTACAAATAACACTCATCATCTTACTTTTTATTTTTATTATTTTACTGTTCTAATACAAATTTGCAAAATTCTGCACTTTCCATTCATTCTCTTTCACGTTCTTACATTTCCTCATAATTAGACGTCAATCTTTGGTTTTTGCTAATTTTTGTAGATTTCATAGAATCAACTAAGGGCATCTTGTGCTCTATCGGTAGCTGTTAGCCACGAAATCTGAAAGTGTAAAATCTCTAGAGAAGTAGTTAGCATCAGTGTTATAAGTTGCTGATTTTTACTGATGTAAACTATAAAGACCTTCTTATGATATTATTCACATGAAAAAACAAACTGTGCATTGCTGCAAACAGAGTTGTTCGATAGTTTCAAGCAAGGATTATTTTGTGCGTCGTCATTAGTACGAAAGTATTACAACATGATTTGTGGTCGAAAGTACATTTATCGTCCTCTTTCAACATATTAAAAAGAAGAAATGCATGACAAGTGAGCGAAATTACTAGTTAAGAAATCTACTCGTGACTGAAGGACAGAAAAACATGTGGAAAGTTTACATGTGCTTCCACCAACCAGAATGTAAAAGATTTTCATCTATAATTTCCTAGAATCATCACATAAGCACTGAGGAGAGAAGACCGTCATTCGATGATGTATTCAAAGAGCTTCATTCGATGATGTGTTCATTTCATGTGTCTGAGAACAGGTAGTAGAAGAAATTATCGAGTTCCTCTCTTCTTGGCGGCTTCCAGCATCTCATCCTGAAGCATTTCCATCAACTCGCAACGTTGACGAGTGACACCCTTCCTGTCGAATCTAAAAAACGCAGGTTCAGGGTCTTTGAAGTTCAAAAAACAAAATAGCACTTACGCAACAGTTCCTTGCTTGTAGTAGGTGTCCCTAGAGCGCTCCCAATCCCATGGTGCGATAGATTTAGCTAAAAAGCAAAAAATTGTAACCAAAAATCATTGAAACATCCATTTTTTGAAGAAGAAGATTGCTCACTTCTATCCAACCAAATTTCAATTTTTGTAAAGCTATAGTACGCTGTCGCGCAGAAAATCACAAACCAAAAGCCAGCTAGGAAAATCAGAGGATAGACTTCGTAAGCGTGACCGATCCGCCGCGTCAAAAAGCTGCAAAAATAGCAAATTTGAAAAAAATCAAAATATAGCATCGGTACTTACGTGAAAGGGGTGTCGCCCAGTTGTACTTTCGGGCCTTTCGCTTTCGGGTCACGCGATGTGTTTCGTACATATTTCATGAAACCCTGAAAGAAAGGATACGGTAGAAAAAAATTGAAAAAGAATAGAAAAGAAAAGGCAATGAATGGCCGATATCCCGTAAATAAATCATCGTTCCATAGCCCAAGTCACCGCAAAAGTTTGTACATGGTGCCAGGGGCCTTATGCATCAATCTCCCGTTTTGAAAGCGGGCGATCATTTATATCAAATGATCGCTCGGTCAGGTTGGCAACCCACGAGCTTCATCATCACCGGTCGGGCGGCCAACCCGGCCGGGCGATTTTCTATTGAAATGATCGCCCGCTTTGGAAACGGGAGATTGATGCATATTGCCCCAGATGATACAGTCTGCAATGGTATCAACAGCCTTGAAGCAATATAGCTATCCCTCCAAAAAGTCAAATCAAACTTGATGGCAAAAAATTTTTATGTTTGTAAAAATCCTTAAAGTGAAGAGATGTAGACGTTTTAGAATACATAGTTAGTAAGATCTACCAATATTCTGTAACACAACAAAGTTTGGTGTAAATATCACTCAAATTGTGATTTGGGTATACAAGACCAAAACACACTGAACACACGGAAACTCATATACACCCCCTTATTTGATTGACAATATTGTCCTCGAGAAGAAGGTCCTCACAAATACGAAAGCAATTCACTACTTCATATTAAAGCCATCTCTTCCTCAAGTCGATTTGGGCTCACTAATGCACTTATAGTTCAAACTCCGCCACGTGTTTGAAATAAAAATCGATAAAATTACGAATATGCCTGGTTCTAATATATAGTTTTGATTGTACCCTTTCACCGACAAAATAGATTCATTATTATCGATTAAACTTTTGTATGAAAATTTACGTTGCTGCTTGTTGAGCTATAAAAGGCAGAAGTAAGGCTGTGCTTACTCACCTGTTCTTCAACTTTGCCCAGGGGTATTTTTGAAGCAGATGTAGTCGCAGATGCGAGTCGAGCTACAAGAAGACGGGTTTGAAGTGGTCGTAAAGTGCACACTGCTCGGCTAAGGGACATTATTAACTGAAAAATAAATGATCTAGATAATCAAAGTTGGATTGACTTTCAAATTTAATCAATGTTGTTGATACGTCGATACTGATAAATGAGTATGAAGTTGTGGTGAAAATGTAACAGATATATGAAATATAAAGCTGTGAATACAGCGTGGAAAAATAAGAAAATGAAAATTTCAGTTTGCAATTGATACATGCAAAGCCTTTATGTGAGAACAGTGGTGTCACCTCGTACAAAAATCTAGTGATAGTGACAATGAAAGAGAAAGCCCAAAAAAATTCAAAAATTACTATAAACGTGCTTAACTGTGTACTAAATGGGTCCGATCGACTTCAACACAAAGTGGTACAAAGACTACTGACAATATACTGAATACAATACAATGTAATGGAAGTCGCATTTCCAAAAGAGACGGGGCCAAGAACTCGGAGGAGGAAGGGGTGGAGAAAGTGGTATTAGCCTGACCGATGAGACTGAACTGACTCATTAACTCTTAAATACTGTAGTGACCAGGTGGCGACCACCTGATGACACAGCTTCGTTGGTCAGACACCCTGCACTCCTTCGCCTCGCATGTTGTTCTTCGTGGTTAACTGCGGGCTAGAAGGATGTACTTCCCGTACGATCGATGCTGAGGGCGTCTAGTAGGCTTTGTTTTGAAATCTCATGACAAAGTGCATATATAGTTTATTCATAGCATATAGTAGTAAAGAACGGGACCGGAGAACACGCACAGATTGACCAATGTGGCTAACTATAAAATTCAGAGCCAAAAGAGAACCTTGTAAGCTGTGGATTATTCCTAGAATAATGCTTATGACCTATTATATCGTCGAGTCATTCGTAACTTAATATGTGTAGTGCACACCAAGCACGCTAACTGACGAACAACAAAACTAGAACCTGCTCATTTCCAGTAATTTCTGCTTGTTTCCTTGTCTCTTTTGTTTTTCTTGATTACATGTTAGTCAATAGAACACATTTGTACACTTTGTTAGGCTAAAAAATGTTTCACTGGAAAGTTACCAGTAAGGGTGCCGTCGCTCATAGGGCTTAGTGTGCAGTCTCACATATTAAGTTACATGACTCGAGGTTATGTATAGTTCGCAATATAAGCTACTTATTGTCAGAACGTTATATTAGGCAAAATAGCGAGAAACCTTCCTTCTGGTGATACCACAATAAGTAGCTTATATTGCGAACTATACATATAATAGGTCATAAGCATTATTCTAGGAATAATCCACAGCTTACAAGTTCTCTCTTGGCTCTAATTTCATTCTAATGTACATAATTCCGCTGAGGTTTCATCATAAAAAATTTATGTGGAGCTATGCAAACTGAACTCCAAACAGTTAAGGTCCCAGTGTGAAATAACCATGCAAATCTTACAAGCTAAGTGTACTGCGATTCTTCAATTTTGACAACCAATCAAAACAGTCAAACTCATAAACTGAACCAAGTGAGATACTAGATATTGGGTTGGCTAATAAATATTAGGTCGGTGCAAAAGTTTTGTCAGTTTTTTCAATCCATCGGCAAACACGCTAGAATGAAGATAAACAAATGCTTCAAAATGTATCCAATGCAGAATTTCTTCCTCTTTTCAGCTGCTAAACTCCTATTGTGTTTCGTTGCGAGAGCGATGAGATATTTGCTTGGAAATTACAACCACTCGTTTTTACCATGCCCAACTTTCACTAATTTTCAAAAAAAAAAATTTATGAGGCTTTCGGAGGAGCCTTGATAACCACCAGATAGGGCAAACCTTTTGCCAACTTATGCAATTTTTTTTCTTTTTTTAGCTGCTCTTTCAAATTTTCGCTAAATAATCTTCTAAAAGTCTTGTGTTTTGGAAAAATCGCAAAACCTCTTATTGTACCAAACACCGCAGAAGCTACAGAATACTGAGGTTTCAACACTCGATTATTACTACCGCGACCATTACAAAGTAAATAAGCGATTTTCGCTTCAAATTATGAAGATTTTGAAACATTGTTTACGTCAGTGCGCACTTCTAAAATTGAGAAATACTCCCATTTTCCCCCACAAATTTCGCCTTTCTCGGCAAAAAAGACAATTGTTAGAAGGAGGAGAAAAAGTTGCATAGAAGGTGACTGAAATGTTTGATATTTTATGTTCTACGAGGTTAAAATAGGCTGAGTATAAAATTTGGTCACTTCAAAAAAATAAATCGTAGAAATTCTGAAAGACAAGCCGTAGGGCCACAAAAAATTGCTTCCACTGGCAAAAGGTTTGCCCTTTCTGGTAATTATTAGGGCTTCTCCGAAAGTCTCATCCAAAAATTCTGAAAAATAGTGAAAGTTGGACATGGTAAAAACGGGTCGTTGTAATTTCCAGCAGACATCTCATCAATCTCGCAACAAAACACAATAGGAGTTTTGCAGCTGGAAAGAGCAAGGAATTCTGCATCGGATACATTTCGAAGTGTTTGTTTATCTTCATTCCAGCGTGTTTGCCGATGGATTGAAAAAAAATGACAAAACTTTTGCACCGACCTAATATGTTGATCGCTTTTGCGGCTTTTACAAATGCTGCTTAGTATCTTTGGAAGGAGCACTTCAACAGAAATTGGATTACAAATTTTGTTTGATAGAACTTATCTTCCAAGGAAAGAAGTCCGCAATTATGAAAAAATTTGGGTTTTTTAATAAAATTTCAGAGTAACAGCTCACAATTTCCATTGTAATTCACTAAATAAGGGAAGCTTCTCTATATTCAAATGCCAAACCGCTGTATCTCTACATCCATTATAGACGAAAACGAAGCTTAAGAAGTCAAAGAATTGAGCTTTTGGAAGTTGAGCCATGTTGAAGCATAACTGTTTTTACTGGTGATAGAAAATCCTGAATATTTGATACGGGATAGGGGAAGCTTTGGTATACTGACTCACAAAGAACATAGTGAAAAAGGAGCGAAAACGATCTGCCAAAACGAACTTATTTTCAGCCAAATTAGTGATGTATCAATTTCAAATGAGATGTAACTGAATTCCTTCCATCAAGACTTAATACCTGATATTACCTACTGACGTTGAGAGGTTTATACTTCCACGAACAGAAATCAAGGTGAAGAAAAACAGGGGATCTCGAAGAAAAACTACCTAGGCGTGCCAGTTTCGGCAAAGAAAAGCAACAGCTCGGTATAAGAGCACAAGTGGAACTAATGTCCAAGCACTTTCGGAAAAAGATCGATGAAAAGGGCATTTTTTCAGCGAACCTGGGTGGACGCGACAACAAAAAGTTCATCCCCGGCGCAAAGTGCAGTTACTTAAGCCCTGCCCTACTGGCAGAGCGCGCTCAGTACGCGTTCAAAGATCAGAAGTACTTAAAGATGCCACTTCGGAAGGAACACGCTTATCATCGTCAAGAAAAATTTGGTATCGTTATCATTGCTATAGATCCACTTAATTCTGAGCAAGAATTCTAGAGTAGGTGATGTGACTTGTTTTCCTACTCGAGCGATAGCAATCTTCGAATCATTTGCCGATTTACACAAGGAAATGCTTCACGCTTGCTGCACATAATTACCTCAGATATGAAATATTTCAACCCTACTCTAGCACCTCCGAGGTTTGAACACAGCAAAGTAGACCAAGCGTTCACCGACGATTACACGACGCTCATTTGTTATTTACTTTCTGCTTTGTTTATAGTTCAGAAGTACTGAAAAGACTAATGCTGGACAAGCTAAAGGAAATAGAGATCACCATGTTCCCTCCTACTTAAAGCCTCAACGATTTACTACTTACCTTTCAACAAGCTCCACCTCATTCTTCTGCTTCAAAGCAAATCGACGCTCTTTACAGCGAAGAGTTAGTTTAGCCTGGATGAGGAACTCAATTTGAACATTATCTGGAAGAACTCTAGTAAGAAAGTTTACAGACGAAGTAGTTGTAATGTGATATTCTGGTACGACATCTCCGTCATTGTGTCGCTACAATTTTTGGGACTAAGGAAGGGCATACAAATCATACAAATCAAAAGCTATGGCCATTAATGTAATCTTGTGAGTTCTGAACGTAAAGGAGCCTAATGTTGAGAAAAAAGGAGCCGGGTCATAGGAAGTAATGTAACTAAAGAATGCCAATCTCTCACTGAAAGCATTAGTAAAAGGGATAGCAAATCGTTCACTCGTGAGTGACATATACTTTGGAAAAATAACGAACAATGGTTTGATATTCAACAAATTTGAAGAAAAAGTTGCTATTGATTTTGGGCTGCTCCACTCATGTAAGCGCACTGCATTTTCATCAAGATAATTTACCACAACATATATGCTTTGACTACTGAACATGAGCTGAAAATCTGCTGTGGAGGGATTTGGACGGGTAGTCCCCATTTCTGTCTCACATGGGAGCGGAACATTCTGATATTAAGATTATTGCTTTTGTGGCTGATTTTATCCAGTTATTTGATATTGTGTATTGCATATATCTTATTGATTACAAACATCTTCCTTTTTTTTCAAAGCAATTTGTCCACGAAGAAGCTTTCGTCAGTTGAGCGAAATCATTCCTCAGCGAAAAGATCAGTTTGAGACAGCTTCTGTATATATTAAGGACCTTTGATAATAGTTGGAATTTCATCCACCAAATACAAGTCATCCAAACCTCAGAAACTGAGTTTCAATTTCTCTTGTACGGTTATTGACTCTCAGACATTCTATCGACTCTGATAGCTACCTATAGCAAAAGCTCAGAACATCAGCTTGCGAAACGGAACATGAATTTCATAAAGAATCCGTTTGCACACCCTAAGCGAGCAATCTAAACCTTCCTCTTTGCTTTTGCTGAAGGGTGCGTAAATACTTGAAGTTCAAGATTCAGACAAAATTATGTAAGGACAAGTAGACTACTGATATGCAACAGGTAAAATTTGTGCTATGCTACTATATCTCACAATAAATTATGCACTCCCAAGATAGGGATTCGAAAAGAATAGGATACAAGTTCTTTTTGGTGCCATTACGCGGTACTGTATAATA